GGCACCGGCACCGACACACCCCCACCGCCGAGAGCTTAACGCTCTGGCCCCCAAAGGAGCCCCGGCAGCGGGCTCTGCCCGCTCCCACAAAACAGCACGGTTTTTTTTAAGCACTTTTCGGGCACAGGTTGATGGCGAGGGAGGCGGGATGGCGAGATGCCGGTATAACGGTGTCCCAGCGCCGGGCAGGTCGTTTGTCTCACTTTTGAAGTGTATATTTAAGTGAGCAGTCCCGCGGTTCCTCTGGAAAGGCCGCTGGGTCTCTCGCCGCGGTCCTCGCCCCGTGGCGGGGGCATCGCGCCAAGGTTCGGCCCCGGTGGCCCGCGGGCTGAGAGGTTCCTCTGCTGCGTTAGGGGAGTTTGGGGTATTTTATTATTGTTTAAAAAAAAATCAGAACAAAAAATAGCGAGCCAATTTAAGTGGATTTTTTTTTTTCGTTCCGGGTGTTGAGGTGGATTTTCTTGTGCCTGTGAAATCCGCCCCTCTGCCTTCTTCTCTAATGAGTCCATTAGAGGCAATCAGAGTGGGACAATTAGGGACGCATGGTGACCAAGTGTAAACTCAGGTATTGGGGAAAACGGCTGCGAGTTGTTCTGTTCCACCCGGGAGAAGAGTGGATCTGCCCAGCGAAGGAATGAAGGTGGGAAACCAGCGATTTCCCCGTTCCGAGAAAAAAAAATCTATATAAATGCATATTAAAAAAATAGCGCTGTAAAATCGATTCGAGCCCGAGAAGACCAAGATAAGATTGAAATTAATTAGCTGTCACTTCGTCTGGGCTCTTTCCCGCTGCCTCCCCCGAGTTCGGCTGTTCCCGCTCTGATTCCTAAGCGGTGATTTTTTGGTTTCTTACACTGTAATTCTGCCTTTCCCTCCTTACAATTTGTGTGGTTTCCTAAGGCTTTAAACAAAGATATTTTTTCCCCTAAAGTCAGGCTGGGATTTTTGCTGGCTGCTGGGACGAAGGGTCCCTTTCCCGCTCCCAGCCGGGGCGGTGGGGACGAGACCGCAGCCGGCTCCGGCCGTGGGAACTCGGCGGTGCTGTTAATTACCGGCGATTTTCTTAATCAGAAAGAAAACGACATTATGCGAGAACGGGGGGGAGAAAAAATATTAAAATTAATATTTTTAATAGAGTTCATCTACAAGAAAGTATGGTTAAAAATTATCTGCGATGGAAAAATTGATTGCAAAAGTTTCGCCGGGCTCTTCAAAATAGTTATTTAATTTTGATGGAAATAATTTTAAATGTTCTGGGAGATTTCATCCACCGAGAAAACGTCGGGGGAATTTTTTGTTTTTTTTTTTTAATGAAAACAAATAGTGAATTCAGCGATGTCTGCGGATACTTTTCATGTAAAATGTACGACCATAAGAGAAAACTTTTTTTTTTCCTTTTCTGGAATAATTTGAGAACGACTTCACACTTCTTTGTTCTGTTTTCAAATAAATTGTATTTCTCGTAAAAAACAGGGCTGTGTCTCAGCGTACACAGGCACATGGGATTCCTTTAAAGATACAACTTTTTAAAATGCAGGAATTTTTCAATGCGAAGTCTGAGCAAAGCTACCCTTGCGGCGTCCCAGTGCTGTCCCTTCCTAGAAGCCTGGAATGCGCTCGAGAAACAACCTTGACTGAATCTTACCTCTCCTTGGCTGAAAACTTTACCGAGATGAATTTCTACAGAACCCCCAGAAGCAGCAAAAGGTCGTTGCTTGCTGCAGCTGGGAACTGAGCAGAGACTGAACCAACGGGTTCGGAAAAGCCCGAAATTCGAATGGCTCGAAGGAAAAAAAAAAAAGAAATCGGCATTATGAAAAACAAGTTGGAGAGCGCAGGGAGAGGAGCCCCTTCAAGGAAGAGAGCGGGAGGCGCTTGGAAACGCGCTGCCCCCCACGCCCCCCGGGCACGGTGAGGTTTCCGTCCGTGGGGTTCCGCAGGCGGTGTTTGCCCGGTTCGCCCCGACAGCCACGGGTGGGACCGGCCGGTTTTCCTTCTGCAGCCTTTCTCGGGCTTTGGGAACAGCATCCGAGGCTTTCCAGGCTCGGGGCGCTCCCCGCGCCGGCCGCTCCCGGGGCCGCTCCGCGCTCACCTGCCCGGCACGGGCTCCGCGCGGCGTGTGCTGCCCCCCAGGGGACACCGCGGGGATTGCACCGCACCGGGACCCCCCGAGTGCGCGGGGACAGCGCGGGGACAGCGCGGGGACAGCGCGGGGACAGCGCGGGGACAGCGCGGGCAGAGGGGGAAGGGACAGGAGAGAGGGAGAGGGGAAAAGGGAGAGGGTCATAGAAAGAGATGGGGAGAGAGGGAGCGGGGAAAGAGCAAGGAGTGCGGGAGGAGGAACGGATACGGGAATGAGAGAGAGAAAGCGTGGGCGGCAGAAGGAGAGGGGAGAAAGAGGGAGAGGAAAAGTAGGGAAGAAGGGGAAAACAGAGGATGAAAGAGAGAGAAAGAAAAGAAAAAGAAAAGAAAAGAAAAGAAAAGAAAAGAAAAGAAAAGAAAAGAAAAGAAAAGAAAAGAAAAGAAAAGAAAAGAAAAGAAAAGAAAAGAAAAGAAAAGAAAAGAAAAGAAAAGAAAAGAAAAGAAAAGAAAAGAAAAGAAAAGAAAAGAAAAGAAAAGAAAAGAAAAGAAAAGAAAAGAAAAAAAGAAAAGAAAAAAAGAAAGCTTTCTAGCTGTCTCTTGGCAATGCAAACAGTGGCACCAGTACAGCAAAGACCCATCAAAGCACATGGATTTCTCCCAGTTTTGCATCTGTGATTAGCCCAGGACTGGGCTCCAGCACTGATGGCTACAGGGGCTGACTCAAATCCCACACCTATTTCCCAGCAGGATACATTGTTGGGCTTAAACATGTTCACTCGGCCCAGCCCCTCCTGCCCTAATGTACCTCCTTTGCTGGGTTATTTAATAAGCACAAAAATTCAGTCATAGACTGTTTATTCACACACGGAAATCCATTTCACAGTGGTCCAAAAGACCAGTTTCTAGCACCCAGCTAATGCACTGTACAATGAAAACCTCATTAAAAGCTCTTGCCTTTCAAATTTGAAGCCTACTTTTACCTTTCAATCTTTAAACCCCAGTAGAGTATTAGCACTGGTTTGATTCTTTGGGTGCATTTTGGCTGTTTTCTGTGGCTGCCCTTGTGTGTTCAGCCTGCACGTCAGAGAAATGATTCCTGCAGCACAGGGAGGTTCTTTCTGCATTATTCACAGGGTTTGGATTAATCTGTCCCTCCCTTTTTTCTAGGTGTTTTCCCAATTTGTGGGTGTTTCAAGCGAGAGCTGCGTTTTGTCTTTTGTGCCAAAATCCAGGATTCCTTTTCAACTTCTTTCACTGGACTATTTTATTCAGTTTGGTAAAATTGGGTACTAGAGCTGATTCAGGCATGTCCAACAGACTAATTTAATTCATAAGGATGCTGGGAGCCCTGTCTGCTTTCCAATGAATAGAGAGATTTTCCAGTGGCATCTGTAGGAGCTGTATGAGGCCGCTGGAGCTAAAGCTAAAGGCTGCAGCATGTGTGACAGAAGAGACCCTGTAAAAGTGATTTGGAGCAAATTTCAGACCTGTGGAAGCCAAAGAGAGAATTAAACCATCGAGAAAGATGCCACCCCTCAGCAAACTCCTCATTTGATTGAGGCAGAGTACCCTGATTTCTAGAAAGCCAGCTCAGGCCCTCGTATTTGGAAGCACATCCACGTAAGGAACAGCTTTACTGAGCGTGGTTGGAGGGAGCTGTAGGTGGTCTGCAAGGATCTGAGCCCCTCTTGATTGTTAATGGAATAATTAATAGCACTGTTGCTACCACCCTCACTTTCCCTTCCTCAGAGGAGAGGAGGAAGAGTGTGGAGTGGGGACAAGTCCCAGGGGCTGCAGCCTGGTGATTTTGTGTGGCAGTGGACAGGCAGACAGCACTGACTCTTCCAGCTCAGGAGCACAAATCACTCCTGAGCTACAGGGAGGCTGTAAATTGCTCACCAAGGGCCTGATCCCGAACTCCCCGCAGAGATATTGGAGTCACGGGGAGTTTTCCGTGAGTAGGAAGTAGAGGAATGAGCTTCAAACATTCAGGCCCAGCTCCACATGGGTGGTCTGTTATGCCTGGATGGATTCCCACCAGCTCCAGCCGCACTCCGAGGTAGTGGAAAGGCTCTTCCCAAATGCACCCCGGTGCAGAACCAGCGCTCAGAGCACTCTGAGCACTTACGAGGGACCCCAGTGAAAAGGCGAAGCCTGGGGCTCACCAAAATTATATTAATCCCACTTCAGAAAACATGCTTGGAGGGAGAAGAGCTCCTGAACCACTTTATAAGGAGGGAAAAAAAAAAAAAATCAGTTCAGCAATCTTTGAGAGAAATGAGGTTTCCCTGTGCAGCATCCCAATTTGTTCCGGTTTTTGGGTTGGCAGAGCAGCCGTGGGTTCTCAGGGGGATGTGGAGCAGCAGCACCCGAGCCAAGCAGATCAGAAACCAAATCCTGAAGACATTTATTTCCACCATTCCTCGACACTCTTTAAAATAAACCTCCGTTCCATTGTTCCCATGACCCTTCCATCCCGCTCCGCTGAGGAATGTCGGGATTCTCCACGTCCTCCCCCTTCTTGGGGGTAATTATGGGATAAGCTAATTTTACAAATAATAAATCGTGCAAACAAATAATTCATAATCCCATTAAAGATGCAAGCAAGAAGCGCACTGTCTGAAAGGCGGCAGACTGGGACACCCTCGTCGGGGCTGGATATTACTTTATTCACAACCGGGCGATTTTAAATGCAAAACCAGTTAATCGGGGGTGCGGGGGAGGGGTATTTTACAAAAAGTGGTGTGGGGAAAGCCCGTGAGATTCGTAGAAACTGGGCGTTCCGTTAATGCCGCAGCACAGCCCTTTTAATGTTTAATTTCAGAGGGAAACCGGGCCCTCAGAGATCCTCAACCCTCCCTATTTCGCCGTCGAGGTGTTTTGGCCTCTCCGCGCCGCTGTAGGGGAAAGGGGGCGTGGCCCGTGCGGAGGCTCCGCCCTCTCGGCGCCCGCCATGGAGGGGCGCGCGGGTGAGCCGGGAGCGCGCGCGGGGAGGGGCGGGGCTGGCGGGGCGTGACGTCATCACATGATGACGATGACATCACTGCTAGGTGGGGGTGCGGGTGACGTCACTGCTGAGGGGAAAGGGAGGGGCCCCCCTTCACCTCCCCTCCCCTCCCCCCACAGGTGCCTCCTCCAAGTGGGACATCCGGGAGAAGGTTTGGGATCACCTGGAGAGCACCGGCCTGGCCGAGTTCCCGCGGCCCGTCCACCGCCGCATCCCCAACTTCAAGGTACCGCCCTCTCCCGGTGCTCCGAGCCCCGTCCAGCCCGGCCCGGGACACTCCCAGGGATACAGAGCCAGCCGTTCCGTTCTGCCTTAGCTCTGTAGGATGTGGTTTGCCTGTTCAAGGTGCCGAAGCGGGTGGAGGAAGGCTGAGGCTTTATTGCACCCTGAATCGGGGGATATCGGAGCTGGAGCAGCTGACTAGCGAATCTTCTGAGTTTTCGCTATCATCACTGCCAAGGGAGAGCCTTGTCCAGGAATTCCTCATTTTAAAAAAGTCTTTATGGCTTGTGTTTAAAGGAGTCTATTTCATTAAAAAAGGAAGTTGATCTGTGCCTTTCTTTGCTGAAAGAATAATCATGATGCTGATGCTTGACTTTCTTCAGGCGTGAATGGAGGGGAATTTACAAGGCTGTACTTGGATCCCCTCTTTTTCTGTGAGATAGCCAAGCACTCAGCATCTGCATGTATGAGAATTTCCCATGGAACCATCACAAAATGAACAGTGTGTCCCCCATATTTAAAATCTGGGGAAATCAGCCTGTCCAGAGGATGCAGGGTTGTAAATTGGCACCTGTGTTGTGAGCTCCTGGGTGATGCACTGGTATCCTCTGCAAACAGGGTGCCTCCCACGCTGCCACGAGGCTTCTGGCTTTGCAGGAGTTCAAAGCTGCCAGGACTGTAAAGATAAACCCCGATGCCCCCCAGAGGAACGCCCGCTTCCTCACGCTGGAAGTAAGTGAAGGTGTTCTCCTCTTCCTTCCTTTCCTGCCCCAGGGCTCTCTCCAGGCCTGCTCCTCTATCCAAGAGCTGGATGTGTTCATCAGAGCACGGGAGGTTAAGGTGGATCCTGACAAACCTTTGGAAGGGGTTCGGCTGGCGGCCCTGCAGGTAATGGCACCTCTGCACCCCTGAGGAGGGGAGTGCAGAGCTCAGCAGCATCCTACCATTAATACCTGCCATTTCTCTGGCAGGTGGTTCATGTAAGAGAGAATATTTCTGCCCTTCTGGCAAATATCCAAGGTGCAGGTAGGGTTTGGGGAAATTAATGTTTCTGCAGAGCAGTAGCTATTTCACCGTCGTTGTGTTCTTACTCCCCAAAA